AATCTCACTGCCAGGCTGCTTGCCCCTGAGGGAGACCCGGATGCACTGGACATCCTGACCCTGTTCTCTTATGCAGAGGCAATTAAGGGTCAACATTCCTCTTAGTGGAAGACAGCCATGGATGCAGTGATGGCATCCAGGAAGTCCACATGCACCTATGTTGACACTATTCCCCCGCCTGGGGCGAACATAGTCGATGGGATGTGGATTTTCAGAGTGAAACGGCCGCCAGGTTCTCCGCTTGCCTTCAAGGCGCGTTACGTTGCTCGAGGCTTCAGTCAGCGAGAGGGGGTCGACTTCTTCCAGACCTTCTCCCCTACCTCAAAGATTTCAACTCTTCGGGTGTTACTACACGTTGCAGCACACCGTGACTACGAGCTGCACTCCATCGACTTCTCGACATCTTTCTTGCAGGGCAACATCCACAAGGAGATCTGGTTGCGCCACTCACCTCGCTTCACCGGGTCGTTTTATGAGGGTACCCAGTGGAGCCTCATGCGGCCAGTCTACGGTCTCCATCATGCGCTCCGCAAGTGGCACGACACACTGAGGACGAAACTTGCGGCTCTTGGCTTTGCTCCTTCAACTGCCGACACGTCGCTGTTTTTTGCTCACCGACCCTTCTCTGCCGCCGTGCTACATCATCATGTACATCGAGAACTTGGTCTTCGCAACTCTGAAAGTCAGGCACTAGCGCTTTGAAGGCGGAGCTGCAAAAGAGACACACGTGCACAGACCTGGGTGAGCTGCGGAGCTATATTGGTGCAAAGCAGCGCGCACCATCACTCTGACTCAGTCACACATGGTGCAGCAGGTCCTTCAGCGCTTCTGCTTTCAGTTCTCCTCACCATAGCCCAGTACTCTGCCTACTTGACACTCGCTCTCAGCTCCACCTTCGAACGAGTCGATAGAGCCGAGTAAACTGCATCCAGAGCTTGTGGGTTGCCTCATGTAAGACGCTTTGGAATAGAGGAAGGACGAAGTGCCATAGTGTGAGTGCCGGGGACTGGTGGAGAAAGAACAAGAGGAACACGAGGACTAGTACAAACAGTGCGAACATGCGAGGTAAGATGAGACACAGGCTCACAACGCTCTGTCGGGGAGTTTGTCTGCTCAGTGTAGGGAGAAGGAGCAGGCAGTTTGGAGTCAGGCTGTAACTGGGGCTATGACGTGTTAGGCGGATGACACAGAACAGGTGGGATAAGGTCAGTGGAGGACGGAAGACTAAGAACCTGGTGGAGTGCTGAGCCAGGTGGTGGCAGCAACAATTGCGGTGGAGGCAAGAAAAACGGTTGCTGTTGCGCAGTACCTCTAGCACCTCCAGCTCCAGCACCTCCGGTACCAGCACCTCCAGCACCTCTAGCTCCAGCACCTCCAGCACTAGTACCTCCAGCACCTACAGCTCCAGTACCTCCAGTACCGCTAGCTCCAGCACCAGCAGCTTTGGTACCTCCAGCACCAGCGCCTCAAGCACCTGTACCTCTAGCGCCTCAAGCACCTGTACCTCCAACAACAATACCTCCAGCACTCGCGAAGCTGCTGCGGTGAGAGAGTCTCCTGTCGACGAGACTGCCACTGGTGTCCACCCCCAAAACCTCCACCAGGAGTACCCACGACACCATGACCAATAGGATGCTCAGGACCCCCAGAACCAGCACCCCTAGACTCAGCACCCCCAAAACCAGCACCTCCAGAGTTAGCACCCCCAGGATTAGCACCCCCAAAGTCCGCACCTCCAGTGTCACCACCCCCGACAGCACTGGAGTCCACAGCGACAAGCTGCAAGGGCGGGGGGGTCTACCTGAGACACACTTGAGGAAGCAGGACCCTGTGGGGGAGGGGGTCTACTTGGGGAGGACCTGGGATCAGGAAGAGAGGCGGAGGGGATGGGGGGGGGGGGACGGGAGACGTTCTGTAGGGGAAGAAATAGCAGTAGCAAACCGACTCGTCAAAGGTGACGTCCTAGGAGGACAGGACGTGTCGCGAGGCTGGGTGGTAAAACTGCCAGCCAGGCACATCGGTGGGAAAGTCAAGGAAGACACAATGAACGGTGCAAAAAGAGAGCTTGTCCGCGGTGGTATGGCGGACAAGGTCATGCGAACCCCAGACCCAGTGCGGATCCAAGGGATCAAGAAGCTACGCGCATCTGCCTTACTCTGCAAGGGGAAGACCGTGGCTATGGGATGCCTTCATGGATTGTTATAATGACAATCATTTACTCCAACACCGACGGTGAGAGCAAGCAGACTAGTGGGAAGACGTGCGGAATAGGGATGGGGCAGGTGGGTTGACAAAGAAGGCAGGCTTTGGGTTGACAGCAGCGGGATGCTCAATGGCACATATGCAATAGTGATTCTTCACTAGGGTGTCTAAATGAAGATAACTTCACACAGAAATTTGAGTATACTTTGAGCGTACACATATTTACTTATGGTACCACTGGTGGCGTCAATGTGTTGTTGCTAATGGTGCTGGCATTGGAGGTCGGCATAGATGTTGGTTTGTTGGTACCATCCAATTTGCGATCACGGCAGAAGTCAGATTCTTCATCCTTTCGTTCATCAGTGCTACCTTACGGGGCTAGCAACCTTGAGGTATTAAATATCAAAACTTAATGATGAATTATGTGGTTTGATTTTCAATGACAACCTAAAGCATGCGTGTTGGGCTTTTTAGCTCCCCCATGCTTGGATTGTATTACAATGAACAAACTTGTATGTAGTGTAGATTCTACAAGGTCTCGAAACTGTATAGCAGCTATCAAATATGCAAGTATTGAATTCTTGTTCAACCCTTCTCTTTTCTCGACATTTTCTGTGGGCTGGGTCCTTGGGATTCCGGAACCCTAGTTTCTTGAAAGCAGTTTGCCAGGGTGAACAAAACCCGAGGCGCATTTGCTGACAACGCGTTTCTTAACAGTCCGATACCGTCTCCGTCTCAATCGCTCCCCCCTCCCACCGCTATGTTGCACTCATGTTGAGAATGACGGAAGAGCAGCCCTGATCTTATCTCACAAAGGCAAATCATTCAACCTCATCTCATCCATCATCTAATCAACCCCCAGCAGACCCGGGCAACCGATTTAGAGTTTTAGGGTCATGAATTCACCCGTTTCCTACCCCTTTCATCCCCTCTGATTCCCTCCCTCCTTCTCCCCTGATTTCTTCATTCACCTCTGCTGACTTCGACCTTCCTACACCACTCTTCACCTCTCCACCACACCATTACACTGGTTCCTGACTCGTTAAGTCATCGTTGGATTTCTGACTATTCTACATTCTCTTCTCATCATCTTTTTTCTTTCTTTCTTTCTTTCTTTCTTTCTTTCTTTCTTTCTTTCTTTCCCTCAATCTATCGCCACCCAGTCCCATTTATCGCCCCCTTCAAATTTTAGAGATTTTGAACAGTATTCGTGCATAACGAAGTCAGGAATCATAATTTCCTCTATAATACACATGTGCTGTTTTGTGAGTATATCATTCCAATTTGATTCATTCCCCTCCCGATGCTTTCACCATTGCTTTCCAAACGCATCAGCTCATGTCATACCGCTTCCAGTTTCTCTTTGCAGGTCTCCTCAGTTCATAATAAATTTACTGTCTTGTTCATTTTTCATCAGTCCATCATTCTTTCAATCTCTCATGCCATTCACATCAACTGATGATCCTTTCATTGGTTCATGGCTGCTAGGCTCTTCAATAGTAGAAATTCCAGATTATCATAGATTGTTATCCAAGTTAGGAATGTGTAATCATTGATGCTTTTCTTGTATTTATTTGAAAATGTCTTTGTGTGCTGTGCTTGTGTGTTGTGACTGAGTGGTTTATGGGCGGGAGGAGTGGTTGGTGGGTGTGTTCGTGTGGAGGGACAAGTGACTCGATGGTAGTGCCTGGCGGACTCTAATATTCAGGGGGAACGCTCATGCTGACTTTGTCAAGGGCAGTAGTTTATCTTGGCATGGCATCATGCCATGAGTTCTAGTCTCTTACAACGGCTTAGAAACATTCAATGCCAAGTTCAGGGTCATGGCTTCATTACGGTTTTACTTGTTCTTTCTAACCCGAGTCCCTTCTTCCCCCTTGCATCCTTCATTCACATTCTTGTCTTTTCACCCACCAACACCTTACTCTTCATCCACGTTCTTGTCTGTTTCGAAGCATCATATGATGCTGGCTGATTTGCATATCAGCTTTATCAGCTTGTGATGCTTTCACCATTTCGTGCCACTTCGTCAACTTATGTCATGATGCTTTTGGTTGCTTATGGGAGTCTAGTTGCCTAACCTCATGCCAGTTTCATCAGCTGCTCATCATTCCTTCAATAGCTGAGCCTCATGCCACTCTAGCAGCTCATGTCACGGTGCATGTGCATTTTATCAGCCCATCACTTGGAAGATGAGGATTTTCACGGTTTTTTCCATCACAATCTGCAAAATAGGGTGCATAGCAGTAGACCATGTACAACATCAACAAGGGTTTAGGGTTTGCTGAAACTCGTAACAAGGAAAGTTTCAATGACTAGGATTTAGGGTTTGGGGAAAACTCAAATCAAGGAAAGTTTAAATGACAAGTGATTAGGGTTTCCTGGAAACTCGAATGAAGGCAAGTTTCAATGACTAGGGTTTAGGGTTGCTGAAAACACAAATCAAGTCAAGTTTTGATTGTAAGGGTATAGGGTTTGCCGAAAATTCAAATCAAGGCAAGTTTCAATGGCACACTAACGTTTCACCTACAGTAAGTCCGCCTTTGTGAGGCGGAACCTTCTTCATAGCGTCTGCGAGCTCAGCCGCAAATGAATCGTACTGGAGCGCAGCGTTGTCACCGCACACAATGCCGCCGTTCTGGTATGCATTGACAATAGCAGACCAACGGCCAGGCGTGAAGACAAATAGACATGCGGCACAATTTTAGGATCCACAGTAAATGCTCCGACTAGTGCTGCATCGAGCGCAGTGGTCCCATCACCCTCGGGGCTACCAGATTGGGGAGAAGCGGACTAGTTTAAGCAAAAGAGGTGACGGTGGTGGCTCCAGCAGCTGCGGGGGCAGGAGGAGAATGCAGCAGCTGGCCAGAGGGGACGGTGGTGGCTCCAGCAGCTGCGGGGGCAGGAGGAGAGTGCAGCCGCTGGCCAGAGGTGACGGTGGTGGCTCCAGCAGCTGCGGGGGCAGGAGGAGAGTGCATCCGCTGGCCAAAGGTGACGGTGGTGGCTCCAGCAGCTGCGGGGGCAGGAGGAGAGTGCAGCCGCTGGCCAGTGGGTGACGGTGGTGGCTCCAGCAGCTGCGGGGGCAGGAGGAGAGTGCAGCCGCTGGCCAGAAGGTGACGGTGGTGGCTCCAGCAGCTGCGGGGGCAGGAGGAGAGTGCAGCCGCTGGCCAGAGGGTGACGGTGGTGGCTCCAGCAGCTGCGGGGGCAGGAGGAGAGTGCAGCCGCTGCCCAGAGGTGACGGTGGTGGCTCCAGCAGCTGCGGGGGCACGAGGAGAGTGCAGCCGCTGCCCAGAGGTGACGGTGGTGGCTCCAGCAGCTGCGGGGGCACGAGGAGAGTGCAGCCGCTGCCCAGAGGTGACGGTGGTGGCTCCAGCAGCTGCTGGGGCAGGAGGAGAGTGCAGCCGCTGGCCAGAGGTGACGATGGTGGCTCCAGCAGCTGCGGGGGCAGGAGGAGAGTGCAGCCGCTGGCCTGAGGTGACGGTGGTGGCTCCAGCAGCTGCGGGGGCAGGAGGAGAGTGCAGCCGCTGGCCAGAGGTGACGGTGGTGGCTCCAGCAGCTGCGGGGGCAGTAGGAGAGTGCAGCCGCTGGCCAGAGGTGACGGTGGTGGCTCCAGCAGCTGCGGGGGCAGGAGGAGAGTGCAGCCGCTGGCCAGAGGTGACGGTGGTGGCTCCAGCAGCTGCGGGGGCAGGAGGAGAGTGCAGCCGCTGGCCAGAGGTGACGGTGGTGGCTCCAGCAGCTGCGGGGGCAGGAGGAGAGTGCAGCCGCTGGCCAGAGGTGACGGTGGTGGCTCCAGCAGCTGCGGGGGCAGGAGGAGAGTGCAGCCGCTGGCCAGAGGTGACGGTGGTGGCTCCAGCAGCTGCGGGGGCAGGAGGAGAGTGCAGCCGCTGGCCAGAGGTGACGGTGGTGGCTCCAGCAGCTGCGGGGGCAGGAGGAGAGTGCAGCCGCTGGCCAGAGGGTGACGGTGGTGGCTCCAGCAGCTGCGGGGGCACGAGGAGAGTGCAGCCGCTGCCCAGAGGTGACGGTGGTGGCTCCAGCAGCTGCGGGGGCACGAGGAGAGTGCAGCCGCTGCCCAGAGGTGACGGTGGTGGCTCCAGCAGCTGCGGGGGCAGGAGGAGAGTGCAGCCGCTGGCCAGAGGTGACGGTGGTGGCTCCAGCAGCTGCGGGGGCAGGAGGAGAGTGCAGCCGCTGGCCTGAGGTGACGGTGGTGGCTCCAGCAGCTGCGGGGGCAGGAGGAGAGTGCAGCCGCTGGCCAGAGGTGACGGTGGTGGCTCCAGCAGCTGCGGGGGCAGGAGGAGAGTGCAGCCGCTGGCCAGAGGTGACGGTGGTGGCTCCAGCAGCTGCGGGGGCAGGAGGAGAGTGCAGCCGCTGGCCAGAGGTGACGGTGGTGGCTCCAGCAGCTGCGGGGGCAGGAGGAGAGTGCAGCCGCTGGCCAGAGGGTGACGGTGGTGGCTCCAGCAGCTGCGGGGGCACGAGGAGAGTGCAGCCGCTGCCCAGAGGTGACGGTGGTGGCTCCAGCAGCTGCGGGGACACGAGGAGAGTGCAGCCGCTGCCCAGAGGTGACGGTGGTGGCTCCAGCAGCTGCGGGGGCAGGAGGAGAGTGCAGCCGCTGGCCAGAGGTGACGGTGGTGGCTCCAGCAGCTGCGGGGGCAGGAGGAGAGTGCAGCCGCTGGCCTGAGGTGACGGTGGTGGCTCCAGCAGCTGCGGGGGCAGGAGGAGAGTGCAGCCGCTGGCCAGAGGTGACGGTGGTGGCTCCAGCAGCTGCGGGGGCAGGAGGAGAGTGCAGCCGCTGGCCAGAGGTGACGGTGGTGGCTCCAGCAGCTGCGGGGGCAGGAGGAGAGTGCAGTCGCTGGCCAGAGGTGACGGTGGTGGCTTCAGCAGCTGCGGGGGCAGGAGGAGAGTGCAGCCGCTGGCCAGAAGTGACGGTGGTGGCTCCAGCAGCTTCGAGGGCAGGAGGAGTGCACTCTGGCATGAGCTGACGGTGGTGGCTCCAGCAGCTGCGGGGGCAGGAAGAGAGTGCAGGCAGGAGGAGAGTGCAGCCACTGGCCTGAGGTGACGGTGGTGGCTCCACCAGCTGCGGGGGCAGCAGGAGAGTGCAGCCGCTGGCCTGAGGTGAAGGTGGTGGCTCCAGCAGCTGCGGGGGCAGGAGGAGAGTGCAGCCGCTGGCCAGAGGTGACGGTGGTGGCTCCAGCAGCTACGGGGGCAGGAGGAAAGTGCAGCCGCTGGCCAGAGGTGACGGTGGTGGCTCCAGCAGCTGCGGGGGCAGCAGCCGCTGGCCTGAGGTGACGGTGGTGGCTCCAGCAGCTGCGGGGGCAGGAGGAGAGTGCAGCCGCTGGCCTGAGGTGACGGTGGTAGCTGCAGCAGCTGCGGGGGCAGGAGGAGAGTGCAGCTGCTGGCCAGAGGTGACGGAGGTGGCTCCAGCAGCTGTGGGGGCAGGAGGAGAGTGCAGCCGCTGGTTTGAGGTGACAGGGGTGGCTCCAGCAGCTGCGGGGATGTCAGAATTCTGAGGGTAACACCTTAGAAATCCTGACAGAGGGTGTAGGGCAGGGCGAAGGCGGAAATCCTGTACATTTGTACATAAGGCAGCCAGTGGCGGGGAGCTGTAACGGCAGTAGCAAGGCAGGATGCGACACTGGACAAGGGGGGCAGGGACCGAAGGATTCAATTCGGAACTGGGTGGCAGCAGTGCGGATTGGGTGCGCTGGCAGGGTTACAGCAGAAGTGACGTGGATGTAGGGGGTGCGAGTGTGTGATGTGTGGTGTGCATGTGTGTGCTTTGGTTTCTTTTTGCAAACATCGAGTCCAGGACAGAGCTGGAAGGCAGCAACGCCAGCTGGAGACGGGCTGGAAGGCAATGTGGATGGCAAGCTAGGCAGCCCACCAGCGTTCCATTGTTAGGCTAGCCTTGCAAGGGTTTGATTAGGGAAGATTAAGGCAGGGTCCTGGGCCATGGGACTGCCACTCCGTGTTTTTTTTCGTGAATTACTGCAATATTCTTCAAGATAAGGAGTTCTAGCACGGAGCCATAGCCGCAGTCAAGATGAGTTAGTAGGAAGCTTAGTATACAAACACGCAGTCGATGCAGTTAAGATCTGGACGACACTTAGAGCCGGTGACGGTCAAGCTGAATACGGGCAAGGAGATGGCGAGCGAGGAGAGGAATAATCAGGCGACGAATCAGTCGCAGGAGACGGGATGGACGGATGGCCAGAATGGGCCCAGCGACGTGGTGAGTGGACCGCAAGGCGGCACTCGAGCAGATCTCGGAGATGGCGGGAATAATGCCTCCGACGAACAGAGGGAGCGCCTGCGCAGCCAGCAGCCGGGGCGCTCGCAACCGAGAGGACCGAGCGCTTACCAGGGGAGTGCGTCGTGGCAAGGGATGGAAGACGAGATGACGATGCAGCGTTGGAATTATACGCAGTTGCCCAAGATCGAAGTGCCGGAGAGATTCTCGGGAGACGCGAGGCGTGGGCCGAGTCTGAAGAATTATGTCATGCAGCTGGAGAACTTACAGGCGCGCTGGACGAAGGACCGGTTGGATCCGGAGGAGTTCTTCAGGGGGCTAGCGAACACCTTGGCGGGGGAAGCTGAGACCTACTATCGAATCTCCAGGAGAGAGCTGCTGGAATGGTCGGCGGGGCGTGCGCCAGGCGAGCGGGACCCGACTACGCGTTTCTTAGCAATGCTCCACAAGCAGTCCCCCTTGCGGACGGCGGAAAGGGTGGTCGAATTCCGGGGATTCCGCCGCAGGGAAGGAGAGTCGCTGCTGGCTTATTACGGGAGGCTCGTGGAGCTGGGAGTGGATATGAATTGCACCGACCAGGGACGGCTGATAGGGAAGTTTGTGAATGGGCTGAGTCAACCCCTGCGGCAGGACGTGGAAGTGCGGGTGTTCGAGATGGGACCGGAGGCAACCTTGAGGGAAGCATACGAGATTGTGAAGCGCGTAGAAACAGGGCGGCGGCTTTACGAAGTGGAGCGGACGTCGAATAGAGGACTAGAAAGGAGGAGGCCGGCATGGGCGGCGGCATCAGCTTACCGCGAGCCAGAGGAGAGGGGCCGAGAGGAACCTCGACGCTGTCACAACTGCGGGCTGACCTGACACCTGCGGCGAGATTGCCGCAACCCCGCGGCTTGCTCGCTATGCGGGAGCCGAGAGCACATGGGAAGGGAATGCCCAGGCGCACCGATCTGTGCGCGTTGCAATTGGAAGGGACACTGAGAAGCGGATTGTTACGCGGGGAGAAGGGAGCGACGGGGTGCAGATGGAGGGGAGGATCGGCAAGCCACTATCGCGCGCCTGCGTGCGCAGCTAGCCGAGTTGGAGGCTTCCGAGCAGAGAGAACCTGCCATGGTGGCACACAAAGAGGAGGATGCGGAGGAACCCGAGTTTATGCTCATGGCTCAGCCAGCGCGCGGCCGAGATGAGTTGGGCTTGCGAAGGGCCACAAGGAGGCAGAACTTTCCTGAGGATGTGCGGCGAGAAGAAGGGCAAAGGCAACGAGCGAGCAATAGCCCTGAAGCCCCTGGAGCAGCGTACCAACACCCAAGGGAGAGGATGGCCTGCCAGGCCACCGTACTGACCATAGCAGCACGAGCGGTCACTATCAGAGGATTCACGGCCCAACGGGCCATAGTCGACACGGGAGCTGCGCATGTGCTGATCGGCAAGCGCCTGGCGGAGAAGCTGCAGCTGCACAAGCCGGGGCGGCTAATCGTGGAAGGTTACCTCTTGATGACGGCGGATGGGGGGGAGGCAAAGTGGATGCCCAAGACCAGGCAGTCCATGTCCTTGATGCTTAACCCGGGAACCTCGGAGGAGTGTGCGCCACGGGTGGACTGCGGAGTGTCGGAGTTGGAGGACTTTGAATTGCTCATAGGGGTGGAATACTTGTTTGGGATCGGAGCCACCATCTGCATGTGGGAAGAGAAGGTGCAGTACCGGGTGTGCTACTGGGAAGACGATGGGCCGATTGGCACCTTGCCGGTGCGCTTCGTGCGGAGAGAACCAAGGGAGGCGTACCAGTGTACGGAAGCGGAGGTGCGGGAAGAGTTGGGCATACCCACCTGGCAACAGATTGCGCGGTTGCCGGCATCACAGCCGGGACAAGCAGGAGGAGAGCTAGACCTCAAGGCGCTGTGCACCAACACCAAGCGGCTGCTGGGACCAACAGTCGTGCTAGACCTCTTCGGGGGCATGGGAACAGGGCTGGCTGCGGTGCTGAAGGCCGGCATAAACGTGGAGAAATGGATTCTGGTGGAGAGCGACATGGAGGCAGCCAAGATGGCGGCGTGCCATGCACACAAGCTGTAGGAACGATACCCGCACCAATTTGGCACATTGACCTTGGATCAAAGCCTGAGATGCGGGTCATGCAACATACGCAGCGTCGATGAGCAACGGCTGCGCCAGTGGGGAAGGATTGACATAGTAGTAGCAGGGTGGGAGTGTCTGGATTATTCACGAGCGGGAGAAGGGAGAGGCATGAGGGATGAAAGGAGCAGTCTATTCCGAGAGTTGCAGCGAGTGCTGGGGTTGATAAAGAGAATTCAAGGTGACGTGCTTTACATAGTGGAAAACGTGGACATGGAAGGGGATATAAGGGAGCAGGTGTAGCTAGCGCATGAGGAAGTCATGGCTGCAGTGGAGCTAGGCATGGTAGCAGACGGGGCACAGGCGGGAAGCAGGACACACGGAGTCCGACGCTACTGGACGAATGGGGTCAGTGAAGCAGCGCTGCAGTACCGCTTATCCCTGATGGAGCGCCCAATTCCTCTGCTAGTAGAGGACATCCGCGAGCCGGGAAGGTTGGCGGCACCGGTGACGAGGCTAGACCACCCAGCGCTATTTCTCTGCAACGAGGTGGGCAAGCTGAGGCAGGCCTGGCCAACATTCGTCTCCTACCAGAACGCCGCATCCTTCAGGATGCACGGCGACAACCCAGGCCCGGGCATGGTCTACGACTGTACGGCCGGGGAGTGGCAAGAGCCAACAGCTCTCGAGAAGGAGCTGGCGATGGGCTTCATGGAGGACGCCACCACACACCCAGAGGTGACGGAGGAAGAGAGGAGGAGAGCGCTAGGTAGAGCCATGGATCTCAACGTCATGCATTGGCTCGTAGCCACCATCTGGAATTACCAGTCACGGCTGTGATGGGAGCGTAAGTGAGACAAAGCAGCAGCAGTGCAGCCACCAACGGAAAGATCAGCGGCGAAGGAGACCATGGCGCGGGCAATGCTAGGCGGGATGCAGGAGCACGATGAGCGGCAACACGAGCGGGGGCACCCACTGGAGAGGAGATGGGTCTATCCTTGGGAGGAGGAAGAGGAGAGACCAATCGTATACGCCGAGCAAGAGGAGATTTGGCTGCCAGGAGAACGGGAGGAAGAAGCGGTGGACAAGAAGCGGGAGGATTTCGATTGGCTGGAGGAGGCAATTGAGAGGCAGAGGCGCAGGGAATGAGACGAGTGGGAGTTCGGCTACAGCGACTTCGCCCTCATGGCAGCGACAAAGGAACCAGCTCCGGCTACAGGGGAGGAAGGAAGCGAGCAGCCGCGTAGCAGCACGGAAGCAAGGCACTCAGCGGCCACAGGAACGGAGGAAGCAGAGCAGCTGATGCCATGACTAGAGCAGCCACAGCGGCCAGAAGGGCAGCCAGAATGGGTGATCGGAGAGGGCATGTCGGAAGCCGATGCCACCAAGTTAAAAGAAGTCTTGGCAAAGCATCGGGCGCCTTTTGCCTACTCGTTGAAGGAGGTGGGAAGGTGCAACATGGCGGTGGTCACTCTGGATCTGACGACAGACATCCCGGTATACCAGCGGTGGCGGCGCATGACAGCGGAAGAGACACAGATATGCAAGGGGAAGTGTGAGGAGTTGCTGGAAGCAGGATTCATCAGGAAATCCAATCCCGAATACGCAGCGGCGACGGTGGTAGCAGCACGGACAGATCTGACGAGCAAGGTGCTTTTGAAGAGGATGTGTGGGGATTACACATGCCTCAACAAGATCACGATCATGAAGAGGTATCAGACGCCGATGCCGGACGAGATCTTTGATTTGCTGGCAGAAGCACTCGTGCTCACCACACTAGACCCGCGGCAGGGTTTCAACCAGATACCCATAGCAGAAGTCGACAAGAAGAAATCTGCATTCCATGGGCCAAACGGGCAATACGAATGGAACTTCTTGCCCTTTGGTTTGAAGTCGGCGTCGCCAGAATTCCAGCGGGTCATGGACCAGGTGCTCAGGGAAATAAAGAATGCGGCATGCTACATAGACGATGTCATCGTGTTCAGCACAGACAGCAGCACGCACGTGAGAGACGTGGAAGCCACACTGAGCGCCATTCAGGGGGCAGGCCTTACCTGCCATCAAGGAAAGTGCAAGTTTGGGCAGACAACTGTAGAGTATCTGGGGTTTGAAGTGGAAGGGGGGAAGATCGGGATACGAAAGGCGAAGGTTGAGGTGCTGGACCGCATGGCGACGCCAAAGGACCGAACTATCCTGCGAGCGCTGTTGGGCTTCCTGAATTACTACCGCAAGTTCGTGCCCAACTTCAGCAGCAGAGCCGCTCCGCTGACTCAGCTGCTCCGGGAGGACAAGCCTTGGGAATGGGGGCCCGACCAGGAAAGAACCGTGCAAGATCTGATGGGGGCGGTGAAGAACAGCGCGGTGCTGGAGCTGCCAAGAGCCGACCTGCCGTTCACCCTCTATACTGACTGGAGTAGTGTCGGCATGGGAGTAGTGCTAGCTCAGATGAAGGGGGAGGTAGAGAAGGTGGTTGCGTTCGCAAGTCGCAGCTGCAACGCAGCGGAAGCTGATTACTCATCCTACGAAGGAGAGGGCCTAACAGTAGTGTGGGCAGTAAAGCACTTCCGCGTCTATCTGCAAGGAAGGAAGTTTACACTGGTGACAGATCACCAGCCACTGCTCTGGCTGATGCAGATGCCAGACCTGACGGGGCGGAATGCCCGCTGGGCGATGAAGCTGCAAGAATATGACTTTGAGATCAAGCACCGCCCACGCAAGACCATGCAGCATGTCGATGGCTTGTCCCGGAACCCGCCGGAAGTGCAGCCGTCAGCCTACCTCATGGCGATGGCGAAGGAAGCAGACAGGGGCCAGGTCTGGGGAGAACAGAGAGGGGGGCCAGCAGACATATGGGAGGACCAAGAAGCTCTGGCATGGATTCAGGGGGCAACCACAGAGGAAGGCGCGGCGCCAGCGCGGGTGCGGGCCAGAGGAGAACACTATCGCTGGTTCAAAGGGCAGGTGCAACTGAGAACGGCGGAAGGGTGGAAGCACGTACCGCCGCCAGCCGACAAAGAAGGAATCATCAGCGAAGTGCACGCGAAGCTAGGGCACTATGGGCCACTGCGCACGCAGCAGCTGGTGCAGACAGGGTGGTGGTGGGCCGACATGCAGCAGCAGATCAAGGAATGGGTCGGTAAGTGCGAAGCTTGCTGCAGGAACAAAGCGGTGCTGAAGAGGGAGAAAGTCGAGCTACAGCCGCTGCCCATAGTGAGCCTGGGGTACCGGTGGTCGCTGGACATAGCACGCGAGCTGCCGGTCACTACAAAGGGGCGGAGATACATACTCCTGATGGTGGAGCACGTCACTAAGTGGGCGGAGGCAAGGCCGCTAGTGCACAAGTCAGCAGAAGCCGTGGCGGAAACATTCGAAGAGATGGTGATCACAAGGCTGGGGGCATGCGGGGAGGTCCTGCAGACCAAGGAACCGAATTCGCGGGGGCCTTCGACCAGCTGCTACAAGCCAGTGGCATTCGCCACAGAACCACCTCGCGCTATCATCCGCAGAGTGACGGTTTGACAGAGAGGTTGGTGCAGACAGTAAAGCGGGGGCTGAGAGCCTACGGCGAAGAACACAAGAGGGACTGGGACAGAAAGCGCTGCTGGGTCATGGCGGGATACCGCTTCAGTAAGCAGGCTGATCTGAAGGACGTCTCGCCATATTATCTTTTGTTCGGCAAAGAACCGGTGTTACCAGTGGGGGCGCCAAAGCTACTGCTAGACGTGGTGACGACGGGCTCGCCCGAGAAGTGGGTGGCAGTGGCGGACGCACGGGCGGCGTACCTACGGCATCTGCTGCCAGCAGCGCTAGAAAACCTGCACGTCGCACAACTAAGGGACATCGAGAGGTACAAACGGAGGCAGGAGGCGAACGGAAAGGGAGCAGCATCCGGAGTGCGAGAGGAGGAAGAGGTGTATCTCAGGAGGCAGCACAAGCATGCGCTAGATGTGGGGCTCTCTCAGCAGCGCTGGACTGTGAAAGAAGTGCGCCCGTCGGGAGTGATAGTACTGGAGGACGGGAAAGGAAAACGAGTGGCAGACCATGTCACCAACGTGGCCAGAATCCGTCCGAAAAGGGGAAGGGCGGACCTCAGGGTCCCATGACACGCGCGAGGACGGCGGCATTGCGTCATGGGAGGGGGCAAGGAGGGTCCGAGGAGGAAGGCAGCAAGGATAAGGGGAAACAGAAAGTGGGGTAGAGACAATAAGGGAGGGCAAGAGAAGGGGAGGAGGAGCAATACAAGGGGGATGCGGTTGCGCGTGAGACACTAAGGCAAAGAACAGGGAGACATGAGGAGAAGGCAGGTGCAGCAGAGAGGCGGAAGTAAGGGTGTCTGAGTAGGGTGGTGAGGGAGCAAGGCAACACCGATCAGAGGAAGAAGTAGCGAGAGGCAGCAGGCAACGAAAGGGAAGTTTCCGACAGGGGCAGGAGGAGAGTGCAGCCGCTGGCCTGAGGTGACGGGGATGGCTCCAGCAGCTGCGGGGGCAGGAGGAGAGTGCAGCCGCTGGCCTGAGGAGACGGTGGTGGCTCCAGCAGCTGCGGGGGCAGGAGGAGAGTGCAGCCGCTGGCCTGAGGTGACAGTGGTGGCTCCAGCAGCTGCGGGGGCAGGAGGAGAGTGCAGCCGCTGGCCAGAGGTGACGGTGGTGGCTCCAGCAGCTGCGGGGGCAGGAGGAGAGTGCAGCCGCTGGCCAGAGGTGACGGTGGTGGCTCCAGCAGCTGCGGGGGCAGGAGGAGAGTGCAGCCGCTGGCCAGAGGTGACGGTGGTGGCTCCAGCAGCTGCGGGGGCAGGAGGAGAGTGCAGCCGCTGGCCAGAGGTGACGGTGGTGGCTCCAGCAGCTGCGGGGGTAGAAGGAGAGTGCAGCGGCTGGCCTGAGGTGACGGTGGTGGCTCCAGCAGCTGCGGGGGCAGGAGGAGAGTGCAGCCGCTGGCCTGAGGTGACGGTGGTGGCTCCAGCAGCTGCGGGGGCAGGAGGAGAGTGCAGCCGCTGGCCAGAGGGTGACGGTGGTGGCTCCAGCAGCTGCGGGGGCAGGAGGAGAGTGCAGCCGCTGGCCTGAGGTGACGGTGGTAGCTCCAGCAGCTGCGGGGGCAGCAGCCGCTGGCCTGAGATGACGGTGGTGGCTCCAGCAGCTGCGGGGGCAGGAGGAGAGTGCAGCCGCTGGCCTGAGGTGACGGTGGTGGCTCCAGCAGCTGCGGGGGCAGCAGCCGCTGGCCTGAGATGACGGTGGTGGCTCAAGCAGCTGCGGGGGCAGGAGGAGAGTGCAGCCGCTGGCCAGAGGTGACGGTGGTGGCTCCAGCAGCTGCGGGGGCAGGAGGAGAGTGCAGCCGCTGGCCAGAGGTGACGGTGGTGGCTCCATCAGCTGCGGGGGCAGGAGGAGAGTGCAGCCGCTGGCCAGAGGTGACGGTGGTGGCTCCAGCAGCTGCGGGGGCAGGAGGAGAGTGCATCCGCTGGCCTGAGGTGACGGTGGTGGCTCCAGCAGCTGCGGGGGCAGGAGGAGAGTGCAGCCGCTGGCCAGAGGTGACGGTGGTGGCTCCAGCAGCTGCGGGGGCAGGAGGAGAGTGCAGCCGCTGGCCAGAGGTGACGGTGGTGGCTCCATCAGCTGCGGGGGCAGGAGGAGAGTGCAGCCGCTGGCCTGAGGTGACGGTGGTGGCTCCAGCAGCTGCGGGGGCAGGAGGAGAGTGCAGCCGCTGGCCAGAGGTGACAGTGGTGGCTCCAGCAGCTGCGGGGGCAGGAGGAGAGTGCAGCCGCTGGCCAGAGGTGACGGTGGTGGCTCCAGCAGCTGCGGGGGCAGGAGGAGAGTGCAGCCGCTGGCCAGAGGTGACGGTGGTGGCTCCAGCAGCTGCGGGGGCAGGAGGAGAGTGCAGCCGCTGGCCAGAGGTGACGGTGGTGGCTCCAGCAGCTGCGGGGGCAGGAGGAGAGTGCAGCCGCTGGCCAGAGGTGACGGTGGTGGCTCCAGCAGCTGCGGGGGCAGGAGGAGAGTGAGGTGACGCTGGTGGCTCCAGCAGCTGCGGGGGCAGGAGGAGAGTGCAGCCGCTGGCCAGAGGTGACGGTGGTGGCTCCAACAGCTGTGGGGGCAGGAGGAGAGTGCAGCCGCTGGCCAGAGGTGACGGTGGTGGCTCCAGCAGCTGCGGGGGCAGGAGGAGAGTGCAGCCGCTGGCCAGAGGTGACAGTGGTGGCTCCAGCAGCTGCGGGGGCAGGAGGAGAGTGCAGCCGCTGGCCAGAGGTGACGGTGGTGGCTCCAGCAGCTGCGGGGGCAGGAGGAGAGTGCAGCGGCTGGCCAGAGGTGACGGTGGTGGCTCCAGCAGCTGCGGGGGCAGGAGGAGAGTGCAGCCGCTGGCCAGAGGTGACGGTGGTGGCTCCAGCAGCTGCGGGGGCAGGAGGAGAGTGCAGCCGCTGGCCAGAGGTGACGGTGGTGGCTCCAGCAGCTGCGGGGGCAGGAGGAGAGTGCAGTCGCTGGCCTGAGGTGACGGTGGTGGCTCCAGTAGCTGCGGGGGCAGGAGGAGAGTGCAGCCGCTGGCCAGAGGTGACGGTGGTGGCTCCAGCAGCTGCGGGGGCAGGAGGAGAGTGCAGCCGCTGACCAGAGGTGACGGTGGTGGCTCCAGCAGCTGCGGGGGAAGGAGGAGAGTTCAGCCGCTGGCCAGAGGTGACGGTGGTGGCTCCAGCAGCTGCGGGGGCAGGAGGAGAGTGCAGCCGCTGGCCAGAGGTGACGGTGGTGGCTCCAGCAGCTGCGGGGGCAGGAGGAGAGTGCAGCCGCTGGCCTGAGGTGACGGTGGTGGCTCCAGCAGCTGCGGGGGCAGGAGGAGAGTGCAGCGGCTGGCCTGAGGTGACGGTGGTGGCTCCAGCAGCTGCGGGGGCAGGAGGAGAGTGAGGTGACGCTGGTGGCTCCAGCAGCTGCGGGGGCAGGAGGAGAGTGCAGCCGCTGGCCAGAGGTGACGGTGGTGGCTCCAACAGCTGTGGGGGCAGGAGGAGAGTGCAGCCGCCGGCCAGAGGTGACGGTGGTGGCTCCAGCAGCTGCGGGGGCAGGAGGAGAGTGCAGCCGCTGGCCAGAGGTGACGGTGGTGGCTCCAGCAGCTGCGGGGGCAGGAGGAGAGTGCAGCCTCTGGCCAGAGGTGACGGTGGTGGCTCCAGCATCTGCGGGGGCAGGAGGAGAGTGCAGCCTCTGGCCAGAGGTGACGGTGGTGGCTCCAGCAGCTGCGGGGGCAGGAGGAGAGTGCAGCCGCTGGCCAGAGGTGACGGTGGTGGCTCCAGCAGCTGCGGGGGCAGGAGGAGAGTGCAGCCGCTGGCCAGAGGTGACGGTGGTGGCTCCAGTAGCTGCGGGGGCAGGAGGAGAGTGCAGCCGCCGGCCAGAGGTGACGGTGGTGGCTCCAGCAGCTGCGGGGGCAGGAGGAGAGTGCAGCTGCTGGCTTGAGGTGACGGTGGTGGCTCCAGCAGCTGCGGGGGCAGGAGGAGAGTGCAGCCGCCGGCCAGAGGTGACGGTGGTGGCTCCAGCAGCTGCGGGGGCAGGAGGAGAGTGCAGCCGCTGGCCAGAGGTGACGGTGGTGGCTCCAGCAGCTGCGGGGGCAGGAGGAGAGTGCAGCCGCTGGCCAGAGGTGACGGTGGTGGCTCCAGCAGCTGCGGGGGAAGGAGGAGAGTGCAGTCGCTGGCCTGAGGTGACGGTGGTGGCTCCAGTAGCTGCGGGGGCAGGAGGAGAGTGCAGCCGCTGGCCAGAGGTGACGGTGGTGGCTCCAGCAGCTGCGGGGGCAGGAGGAGAGTGCAGCCGCTGGCCAGAGGTGACGGTGGTGGCTCCAGCAGCTGCGGGGGCAGGAGGAGAGTGCAGCCGCTGGCCTGAGGTGACGGTGGTGGCTCCAGCAGCTGCGGGGGCAGGAGGAGAGTGCAGCGGCTGGCCTGAGGTGACGGTGGTGGCTCCAGCAGCTGCGGGGGCAGGAGGAGAGTGAGGTGACGCTGGTGGCTCCAGCAGCTGCGGGGGCAGGAGGAGAGTGCAGCCGCTGGCCAGAGGTGACGGTGGTGGCTCCAACAGCTGTGGGGGCAGGAGGAGAGTGCAGCCGCTGGCCAGAGGTGACGGTGGTGGCTCCAGCAGCTGCGGGGGAAGGAGGAGAGTGCAGTCGCTGGCCTGAGGTGACGGTGGTGGCTCCAGTAGCTGCGGGGGCAGGAGGAGAGTGCAGCCGCTGGCCAGAGGTGACGGTGGTGGCTCCAGCAGCTGCGGGGGCAGGAGGAGAGTGCAGCCGCTGGCCAGAGGTGACGGTGGTGGCTCCAGGAGCTGCGGGGGCAGGAGGAGAGTGCAGCCGCTGGCCTGAGGTGACGGTGGTGGCTCCAGCAGCTGCGGGGGCAGGAGGAGAGTGCAGCGGCTGGCCTGAGGTGACGGTGGTGGCTCCAGCAGCTGCGGGGGCAGGAGGAGAGTGAGGTGACGCTGGTGGCTCCAGCAGCTGCGGGGGCAGGAGGAGAGTGCAGCCGCTGGCCAGAGGTGACGGTGGTGGCTCCAGCAGCTGTGGGGGCAGGAGGAGAGTGCAGCCGCTGGCCAGAGGTGACGGTGGTGGCTTCAGCAGCTGCGGGGGCAGGAGGAGAGTGCAGCCGCTGGCCAGAGGTGACGGTGGTGGCTCCAGCAGCTGCGGGGGCAGGAGGAGAGTGCAGCCGCTGGCCAGAGGTGACGGTGGTGGCTCCAGCAGCTGCGGGGGCAGGAGGAGAGTGCAGCCTCTGGCCAGAGGTGACGGTGGTGGCTCCAGCATCTGCGGGGGCAGGAGGAGAGTGCAGCCGCTGGCCAGAGGTGACGGTGGTGGCTCCAGTAGCTGCGGGGGCAGGAGGAGTGTGCAGCCGCTGGCCAGAGGTGACGGTGGTGGCTCCAGCAGCTGCGGGGGCAGGAGGAGAGTGCAGCTGCTGGCTTGAGGTGACGGTGGTGGCTCCAGCAGCTGCGGGGGCAGGAGGAGAGTGCAGCCGCCGGCCAGAGGTGACGGTGGTGGCTCCAGCAGCTGCGGGGGCAGGAGGAGAGTGCAGCCGCTGGCCAGAGGTGACGGTGGTGGCTCCAGCAGCTGCGGGGGCAGGAGGAGAGTGCAGCCGCTGGCCAGAGGTGACGGTGGTGGCTCCAGCAACTGCGGGGGAAGGAGGAGAGTGCAGTCGCTGGCCTGAGGTGACGGTGGTGGCTCCAGTAGCTGCGGGGGCAGGAGGAGAGTGCAGCCGCTGGCCAGAGGTGACGGTGGTGGCTCCAGCAGCTGCGGGGGCAGGAGGAGAGTGCAGCCGCTGACCAGAGGTGACGGTGGTGGCTCCAGCAGCTGCGGGGGAAGGAGGAGAGTTCAGCCGCAGGCCAGAGGTGACGGTGGTGGCTCCAGCAGCTGCGGGGGCAGGAGGAGAGTGCAGCCGCTGGCCAGAGGTGACGGTGGTGGCTCCAGCAGCTGTGGGGGCAGGAGGAGAGTGCAGCCGCTGGCCTGAGGTGACAGTGGTGGCTCCAGCAGCTGCGGGGGCAGGAGGAGAGTGCAGCGGCTGGCCTGAGGTGACGGTGGTGGCTCCAGCAGCTGCGGGGGCAGGAGGAGAGTGAGGTGACGGTGGTGGCTCCAGCAGCTGCGGGGGCAGGAGGAGAGTGCAGCCCCTGGCCTGAGGTGAAACCAGCAGGTTGCTTCTGACTTCGAGTTTTGTACACTTGGCTTTTAACAACATTTTGTGAACGTGGTTGTTGTGTCTCTGTCGTCGCCAGCACTGGTGCATGACCACTTGTGTCATCCGGGACTGATTGGGACATGGTTTTTTCACATTCTCCATCAATTAGTCCAATGGTTTCCATCCACGGCTTCCTGCAAACAATGTGCAAAATCCAATATTCACAAAGGATCTTGTTTTGTGTTAGGGACAATGCTTAACACGTGGACTACGCATAATTCTTGCAAAGGTGTAGTGGGGCTATTCAAAGGCGACACTAGACACACTTATTGAGAAGACACACCTTCTGGGAGGGGTTCCGACGGTCCTTTCCGACCGTGCCCTCCCCGACTTCTGCCTCTTCGTCCACCACGGCCACAACCATTTCATGAAATGTATTCGGGCTGCACCAACATACCACTTCACCTACGGTGGACCGAGCATGGGAGGGTATTGGTGACACTTCTCCCAATTGCTAACTCAGATATGGAACCCACATTGAAGGTGGAGATCTAAAAAAAATGTGTCGACATTGTGCTATAAAAAAACATTGCTGCATGCAAAGGGTAGGTTACCAAATGCATATCAATGCATGGTCTTTACGGCTTTTGGTGAAATGGCATTGTAACACATGTATAGGTATAATGACCATCTTGTTCGATATGCACTTTCTTTGTAGTCAACCAGGTCCGTACCCTTGACGGATCCGTACGGCAATGTATTCACCGTGTGGCCTAAGCTTTTCTCGTGGATCACCCACTATCCCGAGGGCTCTCGGTGACTTCCACAATGCAGCACTTCTCAACCTGTCCCTGTTCACAGTGCTATATGCACAATAACAACCTGGATGTGATGGACCCTGATCCAAACCATCCAAGAGATGTGAAGACGCAAATCTGGCTATCTTAGGAGGCCGATGACAAAAAAAGAGAAGCCCACTTGACCCACAAATCACCAGTACGTTGTGAACTTGTGGAGATTATGAGTGAAGGCGGAGATGGGGCTGAGGTCATGGGTTTAGTGGGTGCTGGGAGAGAGGTGGTGGGGAGAGATTGGCACGTGGTAAAAAAACTAAAAGGGCAGAGTTGGGATAAGGAGGGGTTTAGATGACTTTTTGGTCATGGAAAGCAAGCCATTGGCTGGTCAAGATAACGATGAGATATGACAGATAGTGTGTGGAAAGGGGCAGCATGTTTGATGAGGGACGAGAGGAACTCTGACACGGGTGAGGTGGTTGGGGCCAGATGGAAAGAGTGCGTGGTCGATCAGGAAGGAGATGTAGGGGGTGGAATAAGGGAGGGATGCAGGGGGTAAGGGAGAGTTGGGCAAGGGTGAAGGTGCCTAGTCGATTCTCGAATACGCCAACATGAGTAGAGACGGATACGGTGACGCGAGAGAAGGGATAGGAATGACTTCAACAGGATAGGTGGTGATTGCAATGCTAGCTGGTGATGGGAGGCGGGTTTTCAAGCATTTTGACAATGGACAATCCCTATATTGCAAATTCATTGCTCTTATTATTTTTTGCAGTGCATTCTTTGGAAGTTTGATCGTGGCAAGGAGGTTCATGAGCCTTGTGTCAGAATAACGAACAGGAATGAATGAACTAGCAGCAAAATGGATACAAGAGGGAAACCCTTATTGGGTTGTACCCCATATGGGCTACCCCCATATGTTTGACACACCCCCATGGGCAAAGTGGGGGAGAACAAGAGGTCACAAGACTAGTCAAGAAAGGGAAAGCAAGCTCAGGGTGGATCACGAAGTCACCATGCATTCTGAGCACAAGCAAATGGCCACAAGGCCAGTTCACATGCAGAGTTATATATAAAGGAGAACAAGCAGGACAGTGATCATAACCTAGCAAGTGTAAGTATGCAGGTCTAAGAATATAGATCACAGTACAAGCAAAGTCAAGAAGTGAGCAAGTGACGCCAAGTAGGCACAAGGCTTAGAACAGTACAGAAACGCTGAAGATCACAAGGCTGAAGTGCCTTGGTGAAGATATCAGCAGTGTTGGCCTGAGAGGCCACGTAAACAAGACAAAGCTGACCACGCTGCTGCAACTCTCGAGCAAGGAAGTAGCGCACAGCGATGTGCTTCGTTCTGTGCTCCAGTCTGTGCTCCTGACACAAGGCAATCATGGCCTTGTTGTCGACGTACAGAACTGGAAAAGAACGAGGCGGCTCTCCCAAGTTGGTCAGCAAGTAGGTGAGCCAGCGTAACTCCTGTGCAGCCATGGCCCCTGCGTAGATCTCAGCCTCACAACTGGAGCTGAAAACAGAAGACGAGCCGGTAGACCGCCACGAAACAGAACCGGAGCCAAGGCTGAAGGTGTAACCCTGTGACGACCGCTGCGTAGCCAAGTCATTAACCGAAGAAGCGTCTACGTGACCAGTGAGGACAACTTGAGCCCGTCCTCCAAGCACGAGCCCCATGCCCGACGTACTCCACAAGTAGCGCGTCACCCTCTTAACGGCCTTCCAGTGCTCTGGTCGGGGTCTCCCGGGCGCAATGTACCGTGCCACGATGCTAAGAGGGTAAGCAAGGTCAAGTCGAGTGCAAGTGATCAGGTACATGAGGTAGCCCACAAGCTCTGGATATGGGCCACTCGCTCTACGAACTCATCCGAAGGCAGAGCAGAGAGCGATTGATCGGTAGGCAGAGGAGTGGACTGTGGCGAGGAGTACTGGAAGTCGAAGCGCTGAAGGACCTTCTGGCTGAGACCGTAGACTGGCCGTCGGAGGCTCCACTGGGTACGTGCAGGAAACGACCCAGTGAAGCCAGGTGGGCGGCGCAGCCAGATCTCCTCGTGCAGGCTGCCCTGTACGAAAGCAGTGCTGTAGTCAAGAGAGTGAAGCTCGTAGTCACGCTGACCAGCGACGTTCAGCTGTACCCGAAGAGTGGTCATCTCCGGGGTAGAGGAGAAGGTCTGGAAGAAGTCAACTCCCTGTCGCTGACTGAAGCCTCGTGCAACGTAACGCGCCTTGAAGACAAACGGAGAACCCGGCGGCCGCTTCACCCTGAAAATCCACATGCCACTGACGATGTTCGCCCCAGGTTGGGGAACCTCGTCGACGTAAGTGCCTATTATTGTTCAGGATCCGTCACTTTGAGAGCTCACGACGAACTCATTTCTCAACTAAACGCAAATCCGCTCGGTAGGATTGTGCGCCTTAGGCTTAGCTACCATCTCCAAGTTGAATCAGTTCTTAAGATGGTATACCGAGTGAGAACCAAGTAAAAACGTCCAGCAGCTGCATGACAAGAATGGTGGAGGAAGTACAAGCATTAAGGCATAGAATGTTGGAGTTGGGGACTCCAAGAGAACCATGAGAGGGAAGGGGTTCTCCAAAAGCTAGGGAAGGATGGTAAGAACCTTCCTAGAAGCAAGGATGCAACCCTCATCATGAGGTCCTTGAGGTGTCACTTGCAAAATCCAATCTAGTTGGATTTTGCCTAGGTGTTGCAACATTTGCAACCCATGCTAGAAACTTCTAGCCACCCTAATCCAAAAGTCAAGGTTGCCTTCCCTAACCACCCAACCAAAGATCCCTTTATAGTCATGTCCCAAGTAATCACCCAAATTAGATATAACCCCAAAAATAAGAAATAACCAGAAATAAGAAATCCAAGTCTTAGAAATCACCCCCAAATTAGATATAACCAGAAATGTGAAATCCAAGTCTTAGAAATCTTGTAACTTGAGCGATCTTGGTCGGAATAAGGCGATCTTGGTATCGTTAGAAAGCTCTTGATTTCTCATGCATGATCAAGCATTTAGACCGCATTCTCAAGTTTTCCCACCATGAAGTCTGCCCACCATCAGAACTTTTCCGGGGCTGATGGTGTCCGGGTGGGGCAGGGCCCCACTTTGGCCACCAAACCTGCTTTTGGCGGGCGACAGAGGTCGCCCGGATCGCATGACATGTGTCCAACCGAATCGTTTTCGCCACCAATAAAATCTTCTCGTAAAATCGCACGAAGAAGGTGCGATAAATATCGTCAGGCAATAACCTAACGACCATGCCTCAAGGTCGCGCAAGTCAAGACTTTCAAACAGCATGTAGCACGTAACCAGACTCTCCGAAAGCACAACCCCCCAAACCGCCCAAACTTCTGACTGCGGCCTTAGACTTGGAGAAAAAAATCAGAGATGGTAATATCCAACAACCATGCACAATGACATATGCTCATGCAAACAATGCACGCATGAATAGCACGAGCACTGGGCAGGACGTTAGGATGACATGCACTCAGAATGACGTGCATCCAATATCTGTGAACTTCCAGGATGCCATCTCTGCGTCCATGGCTAACTGCCACTGAGAGGAGAAGGGACCCTCTATCGCCTCTGCGTAAGAGCGCGGGGTCGGGATGTCTGGTGCATCCGGGTCTCCCTTAGGTGCAATCAGCATGGACACGAGATGAGGTACAGCAGCTGCAAAATAGTCAAAGTCCTCCTGCTTTTCCTCAAGGACGTCCGTGCCAAGAGCACACTCACCCCCGACGGACGGAGAACAGACAGACTCAGACTCAGCAACAAGGCTAGCAGCGTAGTCTAGACGACAGGCGACAACAAAGTCAACCAGCTCAGCAAGAGCAGACGCAGCAGTGGACTCAAAGGAAGGGTCAGTGACAACACTGGGCATGAGACGCGTGACAGTAGGACTAGCAGCATGAAGGGAGTCAGACTACGGGTCCGGACGGTCAGCAAGGGAGGACGCAGGAGGAGACGGCAGAGGGACACGCAGTGAAACAGAGGAAGGACGAAGTGCCATTTGGTGCGTGCCGGAGACAGGAGGAGGACACTGACGCGGAACACGGCGACTAGTGCGAACAACGCGAACAGGCGACGCAGGACAAGACGGAGGCTCACAACGCTCTGTAAGACCTCCGGGCTGCTCAGTGTAAGGAGAAGGAGCAGGAAGTGGGAAGGCTGGCTGTAACTGCGGCTGGGACTGGTCAGGTGGTGGACACAGTAAGGGAGGAGTGCTGGAGACCAAGAACCTGCTGAAGCA